CTACTGCCATATTAATATATATATATTCGCATTATAAACCCTTTAATAAGAATATTTAGAAGAATTAAATAATTATGTAAAAGATAAATTTATATATATTTTTATTTAATAGTATAAAACCCTCTTTGCTCTTAATTTAGAAATATAATCTAGGGACTTGTTCCTCTTTTATGATGCTTCTTTTAATGCCCCAAATGTGGTAATTTCTTAGCTTTTTGATACCTTAGTCTTACAAAATTATCATATTAAAAATTGCTCTGAGGAACATCTTTCTAAATGATTTAATAAAAGCAATTTATATGCATATTGAATATATTTAAATTTATTACAGGTCTCAGTTCAAAGTAGCAGATCAATTGAAGAAAGGTAAAACTTTTTTAAAAATTTTGTTCTATCTTTTCCTAATCTTTAGCAGTTCACATACCTAAGTACCAAAATAGCCATTATAAATTCTGTATCATAAGAGTTCTTTATTTATATCTTTGCTTGTAATACTGAACTCTTTGAAAGCAATTTTAAATAGAAAGTGCTTGAAATTTTAGATATTAACAGTGAAAGAGTGTGGGTGCAGTCAAAATTAAAATTTTTTAATGAAAAGCTTAAATTAAGTGCCAAGTCTAATGTACACACACACTGTTTTTTTCCTGAAAGAAGCAATTAAAATTTCCAGAGAGTGAAGAACTAATTCTTATTTTAAATTTAATTACCATCAAGATCCATTAGCTAGATTCATGTTGCTCACACATGTTAATATATTTGCCTTTCATTTTTAGTCATTCATCAATATATATTTTTTCATGTACATAAATAATTGAGTTGATTGATTCACCTACTTAAATCTTACAGATTTCACTAGTGGAACAAGTGTTTTGATAAGTATACTATTACTGATTTATAAGCCTATTCAGTCAATTAAGAGTAAGCGTGAGGCAGATATATTAGTAGCACAGCAAACTCTGTCAGTTAAAAGTTAGGTTGCCATCCAGTGATAAGAAACCATGTCCATGTTTCAGTCACTGACATGAATTATTGAGAATTCAAATTGAACGTACATAAGTCTTTTACTTATTCCTTAATATATGGAGCTTACTGTGTAAGATTTTGGTTTTGATTGCCATGTGGAAAAGAAGAATTACCTAGAAGTATGCATTTTCTGTGCTTCATTATCATTTTTAATATTTCTATATTACAGACTCAGGTGAATTAACAAGAATTAGGTAACAAGTACATTGATTAGTGGCCAGAAGTTTTTGAAACATCCATTTTAAATATCTGTAGTGATTATTTATATTTTAAAAGTATATTTTTAATATCTCAAGAGAAAATTACACATTGGTTTACTTGTTGCTTTGCAAACTTATTAAGATTGGTTTCTTGCCATTATTTCTTTATATTTTAAATATGTATGGTCAATATTATGAATATTTGAGAAGGTATAAGAAAAATATCAATAATTGTCTTTAACATTAATGAGAACTGTGTAGAAATAGAAAGCATGGTGATTTTATGTTCATGCTCAGATTATGGTAGAACATGGCATACTACTGTAGTTTTTACTAGAAACATTGTGAAGTATAGCCTTTCAAAATGCAGGAGAGCCAATAATTCATCACTTTGAAGGACATGAAGTGATAACTTTTGATGTAAGTTATTTTAATTTTGAACATTTAGTTGCTGCTGATAAATTTGATAGGCTCTTTGTATACTTGGTAAATCTCAGAAAGTACAAATGTTAGCTTAAAGAAGTATTTTAAAGAGAATCTTTAGTCTTTATGAAGACATGGTAAAGTAGCCCAGTTACATCCCATGGGTCCTTGGAAAAGTTTTGAAGAGGGATTACAATTATATTACTATGAGTTACTACCTCTGCCATTCTCCATTCTACCTTGCTAATAAGTCACATTTTAGAGTTATGGGAACTATAATGGGAAGTGATAAAATGGAGGAAGGATATGAAGGGGAAAAACAGACTGAGGATGATAGAGAATTATAGAACATCAAGATAAGAAAAAGGAATCAAGAGTGGCATAGGTAACTCCTCTTAAATTTCTTTTTTCAAGGAAATGTTGATTGATGTCATAAGGTTCTGTAACTTCAGGAGGAAGATTATTTCAATTCATTTCAATTAAATTTAGCTCTTATTAGGAAACATTGACGGAATGTCCTTGCTGTGCAAGGTGCTGTACTAGATATTACAAGTGTAAAGGTTAACAAATACACGGTCATTAACCTCAACGCATTAACAGTCTAATAAGGCAGATGAGACATATGAAAATAAACAGAATAGAATGTAGCAGTTGTATCAGTAAAAAGTTACCAAGAGGCTATATCAAAAAGGAGAAAGTTATTTTTGGCTGGATTGAGAGTTACATAGCATTTAATTCAAGTGAAGTGGTTGGGTTGGATTTTAACAGGGGAATCTGAGGAAGGGATATTCCAAGTGGACAGAACTTTACTTTGAAGCAAAAATGAGAGTGTCTAAAATACATACAGTGTGCCCAGAGAAAAACTAGTAATTCATCTTAGTTTGGATCCTAAACTAAGGATGAGAAAAGGAAATATGACATGAAATAGGTTGGTTTAGCTTTATAGGTTTTATAGAATTGCCTGTAGCGCCTTTAGGTTAAGTATTTCTAAATATAATAAAAATTCAAACTATTAAGCACATGGCACAATATTATTCATCAACCTTCGTTTTGGGTTACTTCTTAGATCCTAATAGAATTTCTGAAATACTTTGGAAAAGTCTCCCAAACCTTCACAGAGTGGATGGGAGCGAAGTAAGGAGACCCCACCTGAGCAGATACATGGTATTGCTTACAATAAAGTAAATTTTTTTCTGCACTTTACAACATTGAGCAATTTATTTTGGCTTAGGGAATGAGTTAGTGGCAAATAGTTAATCAAACAATAGATTTTACTAATTTATTGTTCCACATCATATGTGTCGTTAGCTTTTCTTAAATGTTCTACAGCATTGAAATCCACATCTTTTGGAAATGAAAATGTAAACTGATTCTTACTGCTTTAAGAGTTACACATCTAACCTACTTCTTTCTATATCCTTTTGTTACAACTTTTTTCTCCCCAATATTATATAAATTTGTTATAAAGCACAAAAACATGCAAAAGAGGAAGAGTATTGATAGTATACCTATTCCTTAAATTTACTCATTCATTTATTTACAAAACTCATTCATTCAATGAATATTTTTTATCATTTTCATATGCCAGATATTCTTTTGGGGACTGGGTTTTACTGAAAAATAAGCCAGATAAGATCACTTCTCATGTGGTGCTTACATTATAATAGGAGAGAGAGGAAATAAATGAATAAGATAATTGTAGAGAGTAATAAATGAAGATAATCAAACTTATTATCTGATAGAGAGTAATAGGAAAGGATAATTTTGACTGATTGGTCAAGGAAGTTATTATGTGTTAAGAAAAGAGATTATCTAATTAAGCTTTTAGTGAGGTGGTGTGTCTCACACCTGTAATTCAAGCATTCTGGGAGGCCGAGGCATGTGGATTGCTTGAGCTCAGGAGTTGAAGACCAGCCTGAACAAGAGGGAGACTCTATCTCTCCTAAAAATAGAAAATTAGCGGGGCATGGTAATATATGCCTATAGTCCCACCTACTTGGGAGGCTAAGGCAGGAGGATCACTTATGCCCAGGAGTTGCTGTGAGCTATGATGCTAGAGCACTCTAGCCTAGGGCAAAAGAGTGAGGCTCTATCTCAAAAAAAAAAAGAAAAAAAGAAAAGCAGCTCACAAAATATTTTAATTTTTTTTCAATTTTTATGTGTATAAATGTCTACAATTGAAAATTTATATTATCATTAAAAACTTTAGCAGGGCTGGGGAACCTGCAGTCTTAAGGAAACATGTAGCTTTCTTGGTCTTTATATGTCCTTTTGACTGAATCCAAATTTTACAGAACATATCCCTTTATTAAAAGATGTGTAGCAGAAAACCCAATGAGATAAAGCTTTTCTTGCCTCTGTTAGCACTTAAAAACAATTTTGAAATCAGAAGGCTGTAGGTTCCCCACCTCTGTGAGAGGAACTTCTAACTTCTTCACTTAATTGTTGTATAAGGGGCATATTGCTATTAGCCCAAATTGTAGGTATAAGTTTGATTTATAGAAGGAATATTACAATCTAAAAAATAGTAGAAGATACATTATTCCATAGCAAGGTGTACTTAGACTGAGCACAGATGAATTCACCATGGAAAGCGCTCCTGAGAGTAACCTCCCCTTCATATACCACTTTATAAAATTACAGGGGAATTGGGAAGGGACAGAGAGCACCTAATCAACCCTGTAACAGTCAGAGCTTCCTGGTTGGGGCAATAGCCTTGTTTAAGTATGTAGTATACCAACATAGCAGGTATCACTCTTGTCTCTTCTGTTCGCTCTTTGCCTTGGAGATTTAATTATTCAATGAGTCTCTCCATTAGCTCTGGCTGACACCTGATCCTAAACTTATGGATTTCCATAGTATCGCCTGCTCAAAGGGTATCAGTCAGGTCACCAGCTGGGTGTACAGAATCAACATCCCAATGAAGTCCCATTATGAAGTCTTCTTCCTGGCCAGTGATAGAAGACTTTTTTTTTTTTTTGAAGTTGTCTGTTTAATATCTGCAGTGGGAAAGAGAAAGTCATTCATCACCTCCCTCTATCCCCACCCCTAATATTTCCCAGGGTCAGACATACTCATACCTAATAAATACATCTGTTATTCCTCCATGGAGATGAGCCAGATTATCTTTTTTCTGGAGCAATAAATTCAGCAGGGACCCTAAAGACCTTTTTTCCAGCATGGATTACCTGCAGGGTTGGAAGAGGATGTCTGCGGGACTACCTGATGCAGAAATAATGTCCATCTTTTAAATATATTGTATCTTTCCATACACTGAAATCAGAGCAGGGGGTAAAAAAAGAGGAGGAATATGTTATTCCTCTTGAAATGCTCTTTTTTCTCCCTAACTCCTAGGTGCTTTGGAGTTCAGCCATGGAGAGGGGCCCTTGCAGGGTATGGCAGCCTACAATTTGTAAACAATTAGGAAAAGCTGGTCCAACAAGCACTGTGGCGTTTGTTTTCAAAGAGGCTGGCTTGAATGACAAGGAGAATAATCTTAACGGACAACAGTGACGTCTCTCTTTTAACTAAATTCCTTATTGGATATTTTACCCCTTCATGGTAGGATGGGTTTGAATAGGAAGCAGGGCTATAGGAGAGATGATGGTCACACATTCTGGGGTGGCTTTTTCATGTCACATGTTTTCCTTTAGATATGGTTCCTTTTCATGGGTGCATACACATGTAAAATAAGGATGGAGTCTGTGGCTAAAACAGTATCTATTTCCCAGGGTAAAGCGTGTGTACAGGCAGTCCCTGAGTCACAAATATCGGATGTACATACAATGTGCACTTATGAATGGAGACTATTACAGTAAGTCCCCTAGTTACAAACATCTGACTGATGTATGACTTGCTCTTATGGAGACTTTATAGGTAATAGGTTAATGTACCTATTCCAACTTACCTGAAAATTTAACTTAGGAACAAGCCTACAGAACCTATCTTGTTTATAACCTGGGGACTGTCTATATTTGATAGTTCTATCCTAGAGGGTCCAGTGGCCTGACCACATAACTAGGTTATTAGCAATGGCCTACGAGTCTTTGTAAAAAGTTTATTTTACAAGGGTGCAAGTGAATCTTTCTAAAAGTAGAATATAAACGTCTTAACACAATAACTAAGAAAATGACATAAAGGCTATGTTAACCAGTTTGATGAAAATATTTCAAATTGTATATGAAAACACCACACTGTACCACATGATTTCATTAATGTATACAGCTATCATTTAATTAAAAAAGTATAATTTAGTCAATCTGAGGGGACTGTGTTCTACGTCATGAAGAATGCTGGAAATTTACCCAAATTTAAGAATGTTCAATACCATCATTGTCATCTTACGTCAACATCTACTATCATTATGATGGACAAATGTAGCGTTCCATAAGAGTTTAAGATCATTGAGAAAGGCTCTTTCATCTTGAATCATACTTTCTTGTCAGGTGGCAGATTTTGTAGGCAAAGGGCCTTACTGAGTCAATGGTTTATTTAAAATGGGAGAATATCTCTGTGTCTGTGAGGCCATGTTTCATTAATATGGCAAAGGTCTCATGGTCCAGGATTGGCCCTTGATTGAATGTGTGGTATCCCCTTTTAACAGAATTTTCCTTTGTGTGTACAATCTTACAAGATTTTGGATTGGGACAGACCCATTTTGGGATAGGAATGTTGGGTTGAAGAGTGACAAAATCTGCCCCAATAAAGCTCAGTATTAAGCTAGCAGTCACTGACCAAAGGCCTGTGCTACTAAAAAGTAGGAAGAAATCATTGAGACCAAAGAGCCAGGATATGGCAAACAACTTGAAGCATTGGTGCAAAAAGCTTCAGTCAGCAAAAGGTTGGCTGTAGGTACTTGTAATTTCATGAATCTGAAGGACATGGCAGATATAAAGTTAAATCTTGATTTTATAATGCCTAGACCACCCCCTTCTACGTCTTAAGATAAGGACTTCCATTTAAAATTTGTTGCATTTGTTTAGATGTTTTGAAGAATGACCAGGTATAGAATGTTGATGTCACTAGTACCTTAAGAGGAAAGTCTTTTGTGGTTGGGTACTGGAGGGTCAGTAAATTTTTATTTTAAGGGATATAGAATGTTTCTTTTTGATGCTTTCCAAATGATGTCTCTCTCCCCAAATTAACTTGAATTATAGGGTCCTGGATTATATTTTCATTTAAAGTTATCTTTAATTAGATATGCCTAGGAAACATGTAATGAATGATTCTTCAGTGTTGAGCACTGCCTCAGTCTGATGGGATGTCCAGATATTGCTAGCAGTGCACATTTGCTGGGTTTGGCCCACCCTTTGAACATATATGAAAGGAATTAAAATATTCTCCAGAAAGATTAGTAATGATATGCTGTGTGCCTCAGCTGCATACATATATCAGTAGTGGCAATAATTTATTCTATAGCTGTGTAGTGATAGAGACTATGGAGGGAGGTAGAGAGACATTTATTTCCTTGGTTAAGCTGGAGTAGGTCACTAAGGAGTGTCCAGTGGTTGTTTTCTAATTAGACAAACTAGTGTTTCACAGCATCCCTGCGTGGATTAAATTTTGCTTGTAGACAGATTTATTTTTTACCTTCCCAGTATGCAGTATTATTGAACGATCTTATCAGTTCAGACAGCTCTTCACCATGGACTTTGCTACCAACAGGGTCGTTGTCCAACCAGCCACGGCTGTGTACCCATTCTGGGTTTAATAGTTCAGAATGTCTATATCAGCTATGTAATCTGAAAAAGAAACAGCAAGCAATATAATGTGGAGCACAAAAATGGTAGTCGTGTGTGTTAGGGGCCCCCAAGACCATTCCCATCATCACCAGGAGAACTCATAGCACTCATTATAGAGTCATTGTAATGGCTATGATTTATTAAAGAAAAAGAACAAAAAGCAAAGTCAGATAAGGGAAAATGTGCCTGGGAAAAACTCCAGAAGAAATAAGTTTTAAGCTTCTGAGAATCCTTTCCCAGTAAAGTCACACTGGATGCTCTTAATTTCGCTAGCAAATGGAGACGAGGTGTTCAGGATTTTTACTGGGCACTGGTCATATAGTACCTTCTGCCTACTGTGTGCCAAAATTCCAGATTACCAGAGGAAAGCAGACATTCTGCATAAACCACAGTATTTGTACAAATAGTTTCGGCACCACAAGCCACTCTTATTAGCATTGAAAACACTGGGAACACTCACAGTTGCCGGATGCCAGCCAAGACCCAACTTTGCAATCATGCCTTTCTAAGGAGAGCAGTTTCAGGCCTACTGTATTCACCATTTTCTGTATAATACACCCACTTGACCCTTGGTCAAAGCATTATTATAGAAGAATTATTATCAGTAGGATCTTGTACTCCAAGATGAGACCAACTGATCTCATTTATCCCCCATAAGAGTTGTGGATGTAGCCCAGCTAAAAGAAATCCCATTAATCATATCTTAGAAAGCCAAGTGGCCTTCCTGCTTAGCTTTTTATGTTGACTTTTTTGTACCTGGACTGAGGTACCACTTCAGGTGCAGCATAACTCTGACCAATAAATTGAAGCTGACCAGGCCTGAGGTAGTGTCCCAACAGGGCACACAGTAAGAAGTACACATGTGGGTACGTGTGCTACCCCTGGAGACAAGGGCTTTATGATTATTGGGACATATGTTAGGCAGTGCAGATTAACAAGGCCTCTGTGGGGGCTTCAGCCATGGGCTCTCCCACCTGAGCTCCCAATTCAGTCCCATTGATCTTAGTTGAGTCCTTTGTTTTATTCATAGAAGCACTTCCAGAAGGCAGTCAGTTCCAGTCAGGTTTTCTGGGAATGACATCAAGGAATCTGCCTGGCAAGTGCAGATGGTATCTGTAGGTGTTCTGGAAGGTGTAGGAGCTGGGCCACCCCCTGGAGTCTCATCATCAGCACTGTTAAGTGTGACCACAGTCTGGGCAGGGAGTTTGAATTCAGAGTGCTCTCAGCAGTCTGGGAAGGCAGCACAGCCCCCTAATTCCTCCCAGGGTGCTGGGGAGTTTTGTTTTATCTTTCTCAGGTGTTAAAAAGCCAAGGTTTCCACTAAGTAATCAAAGCTTTACATTTTTTCCAAATCATACTCTATTTTATCCAGACATTTTGACTGGAATGGTTGTATGCAAGGAAAAAAGAATTTTTCACAGAAAAACATTTTTATACAACTTAACCAGAATGAATTGGTCAGGACAAAATCCTGAATTTTCAAAAATTTCAAAATAGGATTATATAACCTCCCACTCCATTGGTTCTGATCATTTACCTAATGAGTAGCCTAGAAAATATCAGTTCTTTTCAGAAAACAGCTTTGTTTGATAGTCAAACTAACTTACTCAGGTGTGTTTACTGGGAGACAGGTGAGGGACGCAGGGCCATGCTGTCTGTGCATTGTTGCCGACTGTCACTCCTTCAGAAAGTCAAACACAAGAATTGGTAGCAAGAATTGGAACTCATTAACAACTGAAAACTACTTTTTAAAACTCTAAAAGTGTACCTCCTTCCTCTCTTCTCCCCGTTTCCAGAGGCTCCAACAGGCAAAATCATCATAAAGCTGGTCAGTTATAGTGACTTGTTCTATGGTCCGCATGCAAAGAATTTGAATTACCAGCTACTGCTGGCGGCAAAAAGCAAGGGATTTGTGTCCCACCAACACTTTTTCTTGGTGGCTTTTCCTAATTAGGATAATCCCTCTAGCATTTTCTAAATTAAAACTTGTAAGATGTTACATCACTTTTTATCATATATCCAGATGTAATAGCCACAAAAAACAGAGCCATTGAAAATTCCTTATTTTTCTCTTTGCAAATATGTTCTAGCAGTAAATTTAGCATTTACAGGGTTAGCATTCTTGCTGCAGGGAGATCCTAGCTGGAATGTGGGAGGAAAGGTGATATTTCAACCGTGGCAGGCTCTAGACTAATGAGAGGCTGGATGTCTACTCACCCTCTCCCTCCTACGTCTGCTTCCCTCCACCCCTGCTTCTGTGCTCGTACCCCACCATTTTCCCCCTCTGGTTTATTTATCGCCTTTACTCCAGCCCTGGGAACTGATTTAACCTTTCTGATGCACTCCTATAAGAGAGAATAACTATAAACTAATTTTTCTTGCCTTCACCCCATCCAAAGCCCGCCTTTGGGAATTTTTAGTTCTCCTCTGACCTGTAGGAGAAGACAAAAACCAAAGACATCACCTAGCTAGGCTGCATCCTTTCCCCTCACTTTATCTGGAACCACCAAAAGCAGCCAGGGAATGCAGCACGTCAGTTTTCCTGGAGTTGGATGTATCATTTTCAAATTCCACAGGTGACTTTCACCTCTTATTACAGGTAGCAACGCAACTGTTGTTTCATACCATAAAACATCATAGCCACTCTTTGATTATTCTTTCGCCCAAACCGTGTTTTGTCTATAGTTTAGTGAGTCAGAGTCATGCTAGTGAATCTCATTTTTGACACCAATTGTGTTGAGGGTCCCCGAGTCCAACTCCAGGTTCATTGAC